TTTGAGCATTAACTACGTTCATGTTCGTTAGTGCTAATTCTGCATTGTTTAAGTTGACCACAACCTCCGAATAGTTGATTTCGTTGGTTGTAAGTCCTGACAATATTTACCAAGTCAAGTTTTGGCTTCAGAAGCATAGATTTTTGTCTCAAAAGCACTTGTTTTTCTTCTATGTACTAACACGCAAATTATTTTTTTACATATTTCAAACTATCAAAAGTTGATTCATTTTTGTTAGGTATATATAATCCACAAATTAATTGTTTGACAGCTGTTAAAATACACGTGTCTTTCGAAGGTCAAGTGAAACTAAAAATTATGTATATTTAATACTAGCAATGCCGTCTTGACAGAAAATAAATTTGTCATATCCACTATATAATTTGTCAGTAGTGATACATGACACTTAATATAAATTGTCCATAGTTAATATAGTCTTTCAACTTGTAATCAAATTCTATTCAGAGATCATAAACAAAAGGTATTGTGATACCTCTCGCTAGCCCGACCTCTGACATTAAAAACTTACTTCAATCTTCGTAGTATTTCTAGAAATGGATTATACTCTCGTTTTGATCTTTGATCGAATTAATATTAAATATTTAATAATTTTACTATTGATATAAATAAGAATTACTAGCTTATGCCCGCGACTTTCTGCGTTAGTTTAATATTTAGAAATGTATGTTGAAAGTGAACTGTTTCGATTAAGAGGCAGTAAATAAACAGTTTTTGTTTTGGATTTTATTAGCATATTTTTTGGCCGAGCGATTTTAAATGTATCATATGTCCGTCTCCTGATTCCAACTGTCTTTACAAAAATTTTCTGATAAATTCGTACAGCCGTTCTTGAGTTATAGATAGTGTAACTAACACGAATTTCTTTTACATATGTGTATATATATAGATGATGATTATATAAATGGACTAAATACAGCTGCGTGCAAAAGTATTAGGCACCCCTATTGTTAGTCACTATCTCATTATATTGCGGTCAAGTCTGTGTTTTATGGTTTAGCTATTGTATTAGCGGCAATTTTTAACCAAATTAAGATAAAAGAAAATATTTATGATATCCAGGTGTGCTCCTAAGCGGTGTTTCTTCGAATTTGCTTTTTTTGCGTTTCGGGTTATAGTGTGTTATCAGTGCTTGCAGTGAACATACACGTCTTCTACGCAACTATTCCTATCACAATTCTAAAGACTAACATTTAACGTGTTAATCATGCCGAAAAAATCTGAACTTAGTGCTGAACAGCGTCTAAGAATTAAGATTTTACATGAACAAGGCATGTCTCAGGTTAAAATAGCCCGAGAAGTGAAGTGCTCGCGATGTGCAGTTCAATATGCTATAAATCGCTTCAAAGAGACTGGCACCCATGAAAATAGACCAAGAACAGGCAGAAGAAAAGTTACTACTGAACGGGAAGATCGATTGTTGATTAGGCAGTCTCTACAAAACAGGAAAAAAAACTGCTTTAGAGCTCGCTGCAGCATTATCTGAGGCAAAAGGCAGCTCAGTGAGTGTTTATACTGTGAGAAGAAGACTTCTTAAAGCTGGATTAAAAGGATGTAAAGCAAGGAAGAAGCCGTGGCTGTCAGAACACAATAAGAAAAATCGGTTGGAGTGGGCACTCAAACATAGAGATTGGTCAGTGGAAGATTGGTCCAACATACTGTGGTCAGACGAATCTAACTTTGAGGTATTGTTATTTATTTTATGTACAATATTAAAACACATAAATGTTTTTAAAATAACGTACTGCATGAAAAATAATAACTTTGAAAATAAATGTGTTTTTTTCGTTTGGCATAGGTGTTTTTAACACCCGGTGTGACTTATGTTAGGCGAAGGGTTGGCGAAGAATACAACCCAGAATGTGTGGTTCCCACTGTTAAGCATGGTGGAGGCTCAATAATGATCTGGGGCTGCATGGCTACCGACGGAGTGGGCGAAATGGTGTTGTGTGAGGGACGAATGAATAGTGTTAAATACACTGAAGTTCTGGAAACAGCACTAGCAACGTCGATAACGCAAATTTTCGGTGATACAAACACCGATGGCCTGAAATTTCAGCAAGACAACGCCACTTGCCACAAGTCCGCGCATACCATGAAGTGGTTTGCTGAAAATCATATTGATCTTTTGGACTGGCCACCACAATCACCAGACCTCAACCCGATTGAGCATATTTGGTCCATTTTAAAGAAAAATATCCGCAGGCACTCGATTAGCAATAAACAAGCTCTATTGGCCGCGTTACAGCAGGAATGGAAAAATATATCAAGAGAAGAATGTTTCAGGCTGGTAGAGTCAATGCCAAAAAGAGTGGCTGCGGTTATTAAGTCAAAAGGTGGACCTACAAAATATTAATTATTTTCTTAAAATAAACCATTGTAATCATAAATGCAGTTTTATTTACACTCGCTATGCTAAAACACCCTAAAACTTGTCTTACTGTAGGGTGCCTAATACTTTTGCCCGTGGCTGTATTAATTAAGTAGGATTCATTACGATATTGTTTGAATAGTTTTTCCTAATAAATCATATGTATATTTTATATTTAATTTCTAACAATACGTTTACGTGAGGGCCCTATTGATACCAGCTGTTTTAATATTTCACTAGCATATTGTGAGTAGTGACATTTGACGTGTAACGAGCTCTATGTTCAACAGAGTATTGATTTTGTTCCACTATAACGGAAAGGTTACACCCATTAATACGTGGGTCATAAGGAATATTGTAACTGTAGTCAATTTTAACCCAAACTACTAAATATTTGTATAATTATATACATTTAAATGAAACTAATATATTTCGTCGTAATTAACATCTCGTCTGTCCGTGATCACGGTTGCTGTAAAGTAACTGAAACGTCGGGAGTATTTGGTTAAAATAATTATAAAAAATATTAATTTCATTTTAATGAATATTCGCCAAAGTCTTAGATCTCATTAAGCTATTTAAATATAAGGCAAAATATGATTTTCATATAAATTAATTAACCTTCTACGGAAACACCAGCTCTTGTAATATTTCTTATAAACTACGTCAAGGAAATTATCAACGAATCTACCATCGAACATAAATAGTTTTCCTTAAACATTAGTTATTTTCTTTCAACCTACGTCCTTGTCGTAATATGCGGACTGTAAGTCGCTGCCCGTATTCTAACTGCTGGTATAAATCCGTTGTGTTTAATTTTCCGTTATCAAAGTCGCCCTGATTACAGATGTGGCGTGTTTTAAAATATTCATTGACATCAGTGATCTGTGAGCTACGTACGGGACGGTTCAATGTTTTGATTATACATTGTTGATATTTTAAATATATTTTTGTTGGTTGAAGAACAATTAATCGAGTAAAATTTTATATTCGTATAATTGGTAATTTGGTCTGGATTGTTCTGTGATATAAATGTTTTTTTATTATTATTATTATTATTTAAAGTGGAGTGTATTAATTTTATATACATTATTGTGTCACTGTTTTTTTTTGTTGTGACCGATAATGATTTGTAAATCTCCTGTTAATGAAGATTCTGTAAATTTTTTAGAATCTTTATATTGACTCAAATAATCTCTTATTATACCCGTTTTTCTACTTTTAAAAAAATATTTATATGTAAATTTAAATTTCTATATACATATAATATAACCGAATTAACTTCGATAATGAATCTGAATTAATAATTTTTTATTGTACTTGTTACTTTTTGTACATATATAAATTTAATGTCTAGTCTTGCTTGAGCCTCTGTATACAACATCGTCTGTACATACGAATAAGTCGAGTGTTTTAAACATATACCAAGCGTTCTCATTTAGTGTAACAGTTTAATAAAAACAATCAAAATAAATCCTCAAACGATGCGTCACCGCGTACTGCCTCTGCTGGCGCCGGTGTTTCTGTCAAAGCTATGGAGGAGACGAAGAACTAAAGCCATCGAGAGATTACACAGGGTACGATATATATAGATATTATATGTATATATATAATGATCGTGGTGTCCCAGAGGTTAAAATGCCCGCCTCTCGTGCATGAGGGCGCGGGATCGAAACCTGGAAAGAGTCATATGTACGCTAAGAGTATTTAGATACCACTGATTGATGAAGGAAAACATCGTGATAGAATAGGGACTTGTAATTTCAAATTATAAGTTTGAAATCACCAACCCGTCTTACAAGCGTGGTGATAAATGCTCAAATCTTCTCCATGTGAGAAGAGGCCTTTGCTCAGTAGTGGGCTCTGATGGGCTAATGATAATATGTTTATATGTGAAGGAAAATGTAGCTACATAAATACACCCAGGGTTGAGGGTGTAAGTGTAATGATGTACCGCGGCCTGGCTTAAACCAGGAGGAGCTATGCGTGATTTCTGACAACCCTTTTTACCATTCAAGGTTTGATGATTATCCAGGGGGATAATTTTTGAGGGCAAAAATAAGGGTATATAAACACACTATGATAATAAAATTTGTATTTAATAAACTTGTTCCATTCAAGTAATCTTTTTGTAAGTATAATAATACGTATTATTTTTAATTTATAATGTCATACTAGCTCTGAAACGCGATTCCGTCTGCTAGTGTTTATGTTCGTACTTGGAATATACTATGTCAGCGTCACACTATGTTTAAGTCTACAAAGTCTTACATATAGTATAGTATATGAGAATTAGTAGTTAACTGTATTAAAGTAACAAACATACACGTATAATTTTTTATTGAATATGTAAAATATATGTGTTTTATATTATATAAAAATAATAACGATATTATTTCTCTCTGAACAATCAAATATTTTAAATTTTACAGGAATGAGGAATAGTATTATTATTCATTAATGTATGTAATAATTCTATTATTACATACAATTATCATTATTTTTATTTAATTTCTATTACATATCAACCTGTATACAATTCAAATGTTCTAATTTAGTATATATGTATTATATAGTATATAGTATGTAATGTTTGTGTTAATATTTCCAGAGCGCGTCAGAGACATCTGCCGGAGCTGGCGGTGCATCATCAGGCAGTGCGAGGGTCTCCTCACGATCGAGAGCATCTGAAGAACCTCATATCGGTAAAAACATACAACATATAATATATATGACGCTAGTTTACGCCCGCGACTTTGTCTGCGTTAGTTTCAGAATTAGAAATGTATAGAATGAACGAACGATATTCCGACTTAAAGACAGTACTTAAGATTTTTGGACTTGATCAATTGATGAAAAGTATCCTATGTCTTTTTTATGTTCTAAGCTACCTATCTCTCAACCAATTAATTAATTAATTATCAGCCAAACCCGCACAGCAGTTTTTGTGTTATAAATAGCGTAATAGACAGACGCGTCGAGGGATTTCGTTTTATAATATATTTGATATATACATATATATGTGTATTTGTATTTTTTCTTATTTAATCTAATGTTTTCATCACATTTTGACCTTTTAGCTATTAGATAAACAGTTTTTGATAGTTTATATAAATAGGAAAGGATTTTAACCAAAACATTAATTTATGATTCTTTACGAAATGTTTGTATGTTTTATATTCTCTCAGGTAAATACAAACTTCTAAAGACGATCGGTAAGGGTAACTTCGCTAAAGTTAAACTCGCGAAGCATGTACCCACCGGCAAGGAGGTCGCCATCAAGATCATTGACAAGACGCAGCTCAACCCGAGCAGCCTGCAGAAGCTGTTCAGGGAGGTGAGGGGATACACAGACACACGAACACATACATACATACATACAAAGACGCACACACACAGACAAAGACGCACACCCACATAAATACATAGTCATACATATACACACACATACATATATACATTCATACATACATGCGCTCGTACAGTTTCAAAAAGACATTAAAGATACATTACTATGAGAATACAATTTAAACTATTATAATATCAATGTCTTCTAAGTTATTATATAAAAGATAATTTTAGTAAACAATACATAATTACAATTACATCGACTGTCAAATCTTGTGTTACTATTTACTGACAGTTTGTAAGTTTGTGTGTTACTACAGAGAATTAATGCACGGAATCAACTATCACTGTATATGTTAACTGTAATACTGTAAGTATCATACATACAATAACTAATGACATATTAATATAATAGAAAATATATGTGCAAATTACCTGTTCAAGGTTTTGATATAATTCTCATCTCAATAACACAGACACACACATATTTATATAATCACAGTAAAAAGTAACATATAATTTGAAGACATAATGTTCTTTTAATATATTTATGATTAATTTCAGTTTTCAAAAGACTTGTACTATTTCTAAAAATCATTATGACAGTTAACATGTACAGAAAAAAACACTATTTGATATATAACTAGTTTTGCATTATTATATGCAAAGTTGAAGCATTACTAATATTTTGTCATATTTATATATATTTCAAATGTTGTTTTGTCGATCAGGTGCGAATAATGAAAATGCTGGATCACCCGAATATAGTGAAACTCTTCCAAGTGATAGAAACGGAGAAGACGCTATACCTGGTCATGGAATATGCATCCGGAGGGGAGGTAAATAAGACATATTAATACATAGGTATATATAGGTATAAGAAATTACTCAGTAAAAAATTCAGCCAAGGTCCAAAATATGAATAAACATTGATGTTGTATGATTTACCTCTTGGTATTTTAAATAGTTTGATTGATTGATAGAAAAGAATCTGTACTGTGTACAATGATGTTGATGGAAAAACCCACTGTGTTAAAAAACTTCTTTATAATACATTAATTACACTATTATTACTATCAATGAATTAAATAAAATCTATATTTATTTATTTCTTCGCAATTTTCTGTTTAACAATAATGTTAAAATTCCAGATATTTCAGAATTCAAATAATTTATTCACTTCGAATTCATGACAGACATATTTAAGGAATTCTTAAGTCAAAGATTCAAGTCGGTCACAATAGCTCAGTTTGAAAAGTGACTCTAATATAATATATATAAAGTATCAGGTTCAATCAGTGGTGGCCTACTAGTTAAAAGGTCCGCCTCTCCTGCACTAGAGCGCAGGTTCGATTCCGGCAAATACCAATGTGACTTTTCCGAGTCATATCTACTTTATAAGAGTATTTAGACATCACTGATTAATACATTCCTAGAAAGGGTTGATGTCAGACAGGCGGCCGGTCGTAAAAACAATTATCCAAAACTATTCACAACATGTAAGGCAGACCCTGGCTAAAAGCTGGGAAATTGCCAGGTGGTATAGTATCATTTTCAAATCCTGCTTGTGTATATAATATTGTATATATAGTATACTAGAAGACCCGGCGAATTTCATATCGCCCTATAATCAAGAAATATCTGTTACGTTTTTTTATTTATATTTTTGGAGTTTACCTATTAAAGCCATAAATCTCCGTGTTTTAAAGTGCGAAAGAATGATTGACATATTAGTTAGTTGTCAAATCTAATGTCAAAAAAAACGTTTGTATCAACGACTACTAATAAATTAAAAAAATATTGTCCAGCGGACAAAATTGTGAATTTAAACCATTTCCAGATCCCCTTGATCACACAAAAAAATTCATAAAAATCAGTCCAGTCGTTTGAGAGAATTTCAGTGACATACACACTCACAGAAGAATTATATATATAAAGATATGTATAATGAGTCATTGTATAATATTCCAGGTCTTCGACTACCTCGTGCTCCACGGACGTATGAAGGAAAAGGAGGCGAGGGCCAAGTTCAGACAAATTGTATCCGCTGTTCAATACTGTCACCAGAAGAGAATTATACACAGAGATCTCAAGGTTGATATATATATAAACTAATTTAATATGATATATATGTTATATGTAAATTATAGTATTGGAAGTTTCATTAAAAATGGTTTAGTCATTATTGTATGAAAGAACAACAAATAGATGTATATTCTTCTAAACTTTGAAATTTATAACGATTAGTAGCACTATATAACTAGTCTTGTAATATTTGGTAGAGAATTATGTGGTACATATTTTTATAACACACTAGCTGCGCCCCGCGGTGTTACCCGCGGATTTAAAGTAAAGTAAAGTAGCCTATGTGTTATTCCTGGACGTCAGCTTCCCGTATACAAAATTTTATCAAAATCGGTTCAGCCGTTTGAACGTGAAGAAGTAACAATCATACACACTCACTCACAAACTTTCGCAATTATAATATTAGTAGAGATGTATCCATTTTCTAATACTTATAGTAACTATAGTAGATATTAAGATTATTTACACATTTGTTTCATATAGTAAAAATTATTAAAATCTCTCACATATATATGTTACTACTTTTAATTAAAAAACTTTTTTTCGCTTAATAACTGACACTTTATTGACATTATCAACATCTAAAACATTACATGAATTAAACAAAGATGGCGTTACTGGTCTTACAGAAATATTTTGATATATAATTATAAGACTTATATATATGTGTTACTGCTCTTCTATACATATGTTGTTCTATATATATATATATATATATATATATATGTGTGTTGTTTGTTATGTTCCAGGCTGAGAATCTTCTCCTCGACGGTGAGATGAATATAAAGATAGCTGATTTCGGTTTCTCCAACGAGTTCACTCCAGGAGCCAAGCTCGATACCTTCTGTGGATCACCGCCTTACGCTGCTCCTGAACTATTCCAAGGTACATACTAGTATAAACCCTGACCTCGTCCGTGTTATATTTAATTAATAATAGAGATATGTCAAATAGTTAGCGATATCGATGATTGTGTATATGGAATTGTAATTAAAATAAATATTAATGTGTGGAGTTACTCCTCGTGTATGAAGTAAAACTTCGTAATTTTGTAATAAAAAGAGAGTGGAAATTAATTTTTATGGATTTTTTTGTGTTTCTTTAAAACAAACTTGATTAACATTACTCACAAATCAAAATTGGTTGCCCGCATGCGTTCGTCACAAATTACCTCTTGCTCTGTCTCTTTTAATGAAGCGTTAAACATTTAACGCAAGCTTGTTGACAGTGGCATAAGAAGTTTCACTTAAAAAAAATTAAAGTTAATAATCCAAATTTTTATTTAAGAATATTAAGTAAAATGTATAACTAAATGCTATGTCCGATAATAGTTTTGTTCAATATCAAAAGATATTTATTTGTACACCAAAAAATATACTATTACTAATTACATGACTTAAAATCTACTACAAGTTATATTTATCTTGACCATTATGTCTTAATGGTTTTTAGTTATTACGTATTTTTATTCATAATCATTATAAATGACCTCTAATTTCTCACCAGGCAAGAAGTACGACGGTCCCGAAGTGGATGTCTGGTCGTTGGGTGTGATTTTGTATACGCTAGTATCTGGATCATTACCTTTCGATGGATCAACACTCAGAGAATTGAGAGAGAGAGTTTTGAGAGGGAAATACAGGTTGGTGAAGTGTACCTGATGATAAATATATTAAAATTAGTTTAGGTTTAAACAAGTTTATTGCCAAAAAGAACAAAGCTCGCTCACAAAGGAAATTTTAAAAACTATAACTACAATTATGATATTATAAACAATAAACAGTAGTGATATTAAACGAGATCAGTGAAATCATCTAATATATGGGTTCTTAATTGTTTTTTTAAATATATTCGGAGATTTTGAATTAACATAAACAACATTGTTATAGAATTTATATGAAACTAATATTTTTTTGAATATATGTTTCGGCTACTTTTCAGAAATTGTGATCACATCTCGTCTTAATGATCACGGTTGCTAAAAAGTAACCGAAACGTAGGGAGTATGTAGTTAAAAATAAAGTACGCTTATATATCCGAAAGATATTAATTTCATTTAAATGAATAAAACTTGCGAAAGTTGTAAATTTCGTTATTATAGAATTCTTTGTAAAGAAAGTGTTTGAAAAATATTGAATAATTAAGTAAATACTATTTTTCATTCTTCATATATATTAAACAAGTTTACACTCTATAAAAATTTTAATATTTCATGAATATTCTTCATGTTCAAACTCTTACATAATACTTCTCAATCCAAATAATCAAAATATTTTTATAAGCACTGTAATGTGGTGCCTTGATAGAGGAATGAAAGCCAAGACTGCCTTTATTTCCAATAGATCGTACATTAAATTGATACAAAATTAGCTTATATAATATATAATGGTTAATAAGTATGTTTAGTTAATATAATCTATTCACTAACACTATATATATTTCAGAATACCGTTCTACATGTCAACCGATTGTGAGAATCTGCTCAAAAAATTTCTGGTATTAAACCCAGCTAAGCGAGCCTCTTTAGAGAGTATTATGAGGGACAAATGGATGAACACTGGCTATGAGGAAGATGAGCTACGACCGTACGTGGAGCCTCAACAGGACTTTAAGGATCACAAACGGATAGGTAATAGATACATATATGTATATACATTATACTTAACATAAGTTTTCACTACCAAACTACATACAGACAGTATATAGTCGGGGATAGTGCAAATCCGAGTAACTACCATTGGATAATTCCGAGTATCTATATGTATAAAAGAAAGTCGTGTTAGTTACTCCACTTATAACTCAAGGACGGCTGAACCGATTTAGCTGAAAATTGGCAGGGAGGTAGTTTAGAGCCAGAAAAATTACATAGGATATTTTTATCCTATTCCACAGCATTCCCGTGAGACTTGATATGAAACGTCAGTCACTATAAAACGTGGAATTACGAAACACAATTGACAGCTATGCAATTGACTTATAATGACAGATATGTAATGATGTATGGATGAAAATTTGATATTTGTAAGAAATCTTTTTCTATGTAAAATTGCTGTTCTTTAGTCTCACTAAAACTCGAGAACGGCTGAACGGATTTATCTTATCTTAGTCTTGAAATATTCGTGGAGGTTCAGGGAAGGTTTAAAAGCTGAAAAAATTGATTCATTTTCGGGAAAACCCTAAAAACAGCTGTTTTCTCTTTCCCATACAAACTTTTTTTTAACTTAGATTTGATAACTAACTAATATGTCAATCATTCGGAGGTTTATGGAGATTTATGGCTATCAACAGAGATTTATGGCTTAAAGGAAACTCCTAAAATATAAATAAAAAAACGTAAAAGATTTCTTGATTATAGAGTAATACGAAGTTCGCCAGGTCTTCTAGTATAGTAATAAATTAAACACTAAATAATTATTAATTGTAAAAAACTAGCCACAGAAGTTGTTAATATAGAAAATATTTCATCTCAAACTTTCTTCTGATAATCTGCTTCCAATGTAGATATCCGGATTTGCACTATCCTCAATGATATATGTATAACTTCATATGATAAGCTATACTTTATCCTTATAAGTTTTAACTACCAAAATAAATACAGACAGTATACAGTATTATATTAATTAATCTACTCATAAAACTTGATGAATAATTAATTCATAACTGCCTGTATTACAGTTTGATACTGCAAACTTGTAGTTAGAGTGAAATTAGCTATAACAATATAAATTTTATTGTATGATCATTTCAAATCACAGTATTTTGATTGTAAATTAAATACAAGTATGCTGTTGAAGTACAGCTAGTAATATTATTCATTAATATTGTTGTTTGTATATATTGGTACATTAAATAACTAATTAAAGAATTGTTTCCAAATATACTTTGTATAAGTATTTCATAAATAAGTCAAGCACTCATAATCTATATTTCAACACACTCAAGAGAATATACACTATTTATAGCTTCAAATAATTGCTAGCAATATAACCACACACAAACATGGTAGCTTATAAATGCTTCACAAACATGCATATTTTACACACATAGGAATATTAAATATAATAACAAAGTTTATATGTATTGGTTATGTATATTGTATTTGTCATATTAAATAACATATAACTTTATATTTCATGCTCGCCTTAACGCTACAAAGCTCAAGTTGGTACGTGACAATTGCGCGGTACTAATGTTATTTCAATATCAATGGTATTATTAAAATCTCTGACAATATCACGTGATATTTTATATCGAGTGTTGCCAGTGACAGAATTTGGTATGGTGTTGCCAGTATTATGGGCAATTTTGTATAGTATTGCCATTATATATATTTAAATGTGAATAAAAATATCACATGATGTTGTTTGAGAACGCATCGTTATATAATAAGCTTGTGTCGCATGCATTGCTTGTTTTTTATTTTTATATAAGGATATAATATGTTATATGTGTTTTATATATGTACTATTGTTTTTGTTTTTCAGGTCGTCTTTTTCTAGCAATATATTATAAATATTAGATTATTTTTTTCGTTAAATAATCGATGTATTTTTGTTATTTGGTTTTTTGTTGGAAGTTAGTTTTTGTGGAAGTTATTTGGTTTTTTGTTGGAAGATGTTTAGGTTTCATTAAGTTTGTTATGTTTTAGACTTTAGAGTTATGTGAGACATTTTAGATACTATTTATAATTTGAATAATTAATGAATATAGGTATATATTGTAATTAATGTTTGACAAATATTAAAAACCATGATTTTAATAGTGAATATTGTTTTTGTATACAATACAGTGAAAAACATATTCTGTTATATATTTTACACTTATCGTGTGATAATAAATAAAGATCAGTATTATTTGTAATTAATATGAATTAATTTACACCCAACAGAGGCGCTAGTGTGCCTTGGATACAATCGACAAGAGATCGAATACTCGTTGGCTGAGGCGAAGTATGACGACGTGTTCGCTACGTACCTACTGCTGGGGAGAAAGAGTACTGATGTGAGTGTTGAATGTTACCCTGGGGTAAATTGGCTTTATTGATGTTACCCTGGGGTAAAATAGCTTTATTGATTTACACAATGTGTTATTGATACTGGTTGAATTTATTTATAAGTAATATACCATAGTGTTTTCGTGTTTCTTTTATTTATGTATAAACGATGAATGAAAAGAGTAACAAATTTTATTTATTTATTGGTAAAATGTATTCAGTAGATTCAAATATGAGATATACTGGTCTCGTTTGCCAGTGATCACGGTTACTGCAAAGTAACCAATCGAAACCTCGAGAGTGTAGTGTGTATTTAAAATAGTAAAATAACGCTTAGTAATCCAAAATCAGTATTCTCAAATTGTCCGAAAGTAATATTGGTATAGTAAGTAGTAATATCTAATCATATGTTCGTATCTTGCCCCTCAGCCGGAGTCTGACGGCAGTAGATCCGGTTCATCGCTGTCTCTACGGAACGCTGCGGCACCCGCACAGGCGGCACAGCAGACGACCGCCGCACACGGAGGTACACAGACACACACACACACACAGACATACACACACACGCACACACACAGACACACACATACAAACACTATATAGAGATTAAATATTATATGAGATTAAATTAAAATAGAATCTTACTGTGATATTTCTCAGGGATTGTTAAATTTATTAGGAATAATATAGTGTATGGGGCTACTTGTGAAGCTGCGTTGAGTAGGCTTAGGATTAAATGGCATATAATAAAATAATATCGGATACGCTTACAGTAAATACCGCATTCAGAAGAGAATAAATATAGCACGGTCAACTACTAAACGGATTTTAATTAAAAATAACATAATTTATTGTTTTTGTACACGAATAATACAAAAATATTAAATTATTCAATATGTATAGTGATTTTTCTCATATTTGTTCTCTTATGAATATCAAAGCTTAGGGTATAATTTTAATGAGAAATAAATGGGGCCCAGCTTTATATAGCTTAATCTAACTGGACATCGTGAGGCCGGGCTACATGACAGCAGTTACATCATTTGAGGTCCATTTGTTATATATTGTGCCTTGGAACGTGAATACAGTGCGGGGTAATTTATATTTACGGATAAGTCGGAATTACCCCAACATATATCATCGATGTATAAGTGTTATATGACTATATTCACGTTCCACGGCGTAGTGTCTGTTGCTTTTTTTTATTTTGACTGTATATTTGTGTGCTTATCGTGTTCGTACACCCATCGCAACTATACAATCACTATCGATCCTTTGTCTTGTCGATGTGTGTTTGTTTGTCCTCGATATTACACGCATCTTCTGTCACACTATCTACCCCTGGCATGCATCGTATATTGCGCGGGGTGTACGTCTATCGCGGCAAGACGAGTCAATTTGAACGCGCGTATATCTATCGTATGGTTGACGCGTTGTACTGACCGACCGACACCGATATGAGGACGCTATAATATACAGTAATACTACGCTTATCGCGACCCCGTTATATTCGGTTTCACTATTATACGAATTTAAAAAAATATATTCTGGTTTGGACATATTGCAGAGTTGTCTATAGACAATAATGATGACCGTGTGTCAAACAATTACAAACAGTGTTGGGTGTTATGAAAGTATTTAAGACAACGTAAACAAAACGCTACCCAAAACACTATAGATTTATTTTTTCGCAAAAATAAGAGTATCTATTGCATAAAGTGGTCTTAGAATTAAAATGATTGGTATTTTTTTTATCAAAATTTTGACGATACTTAATCATAAAGCTCGAAATACGAATTTTAGCTGACGCGATTTTTTCCGGTACTTATCCCTCGGGGGGTAACGTAAAGCGTTGTATTACTGTATAGTATACATATTATTGTTGTGATATGTTAATATAATATCGGTGTCGGTGCTTCGTGCGGTCGGTTCAGGATGCGCGTCTCCTTCGCACCGCGGCGTGCAGCGCAGCATCTCGGCGAGCGCGCGGCCGGCAGCCTCGCGCCGCGCCTCCTCCGGCGCGGACGTGCTGCGCGCGCAAGGTAAATGTGACTTACAGCTACATGTTACTCGTTACCCTGGGGTAAAGGTGACTTACAGCTACATGTTACTCGTTACCCTGGGGTAAAGGTGACTTACAGCTACATGTTACTCGTTACCCTGGGGTAAAGGTGACTTACAGCTACATGTTACTTGTTACCCCACGTACATGTAGGGGTAACTTTGACCGACATGTTTGTTCGTTGATGTAGCCCATTATAGGTAATTTTTTGGCTTCGTAGACACGCATGGTTAACGGAATGTTTAATATTTGTTTTTTTTTTTACTTTGTGTTTTTGAAATTTTTACAAATATGTTATCGATGTAGCCGCATGTTTGTTAATGCTGTGTATTTTATTATGTTACGATAAAAGACATCCATTGAATGATTTCTCACTCAGGGTTCTGCCGCTACAAGATAGAACCGAAAAATTGAATTTTGCGTTAGCGTTGCATGTTCGTAAGCCCTTTTTATAATTTTACGGCAAAATAAAATGCACGATATTAGAATCATCTTCCCCTCATGTGTAATACATTATTATTATAGTAATATGTAACTTAACGACCATCTCGAATATTCATTAAATGTTCTCGGTATAAAGATATTACTTTTGTATATATATGTATATGTAGATCAGACACGAATGAGAATCATTATAATTATTAATGTCAATATATGTATGATATAATTATAATGTTTCCAATACATTAAAATTAAATGCACAACTTAAATGTTGTATGTATTTTTCTAATACTCACATAATTTCGTCCATTCAGTAAATCAAAGCTTTCTGTGTGATTAAAACGGTTGTTGATTTTATTGTTTCTTGTGAAGCACGTCATAGATTTTCATTCTATTGATAATTTTCAATACGTTTATAATTAAAGAATCAAAGAGAATATATATATTTTGTTATTTGTCAAAGCATCCCTTGAAATACTACTACACTTTAGCATGTAAATTTCTGATATATTTTTTATGAAATCTTCATTCTTCAGCATGTATCTTTATATCTGTATCTCCCTTACCAATAAACGAATGGACCCAATTTGATCGAAATAATAAAATAATGTAGTATATTACTAGGAAATACACGTATTTGTACATCATGTAATACCATTAATATCACATTTTATCATACATAATTCATAATAATTTAGATTATAATAAATCTATCATATATTTACAATCATCGTAGTGTGTGGGTATTAATTGGTATAGGTATTAACAAAGTAATTAAGTATTTAATTAGCTGTAAAATAGCTTTAAAACAGCCTCTGGTACATAATGATATGATGAAAAATAATATATTATCGCTAATCGCTAATAACGCTTGGTTTTTATATAATGATAGCACAAGCTGCATTTTGAGTGCTTATTTAGTTTTGTCATGTGATATATGATGCTTAAAATGAATTCTATGTTTTGTAAAAAAACTATACATTTGAGTTAATTCGTAAATAAGTTTTTTATAATAATACTTCATCAAATATGATCAGTGAATTTTTTTTTCTCCCAGTCGGTACAACAACTACTACATCTAATAATACAACCTCTACAGCGACAACGACGACGTCTAATTTTAAAAGACAGGTATATGAATGTTATATTGAAATAATCAATTATTAGGTACTTAATATATATGTATTAATAAATTTGTTTAAATTTTCCATAGAATACAATCGATTCGGCGTCTATCAAGGAGAATACGGCGCGGATCGCTCAAATGCAGGTAATATATTTGTAATTATTATACAGTACAGATATTAAATATTAATGTGTGTTTAGAAAGAAATTCCCTCAAACATTTAATTTTAAAACTATTAGCAGCAGTTCACTTAATATTTATATGTATATATTAATTTAATGCACCGTGCAACTATTTGTCTTTCGTCTGACTAGATTTTTTGAGAGAAGAAAAAAACAAATCAAAAACACATTAGCTTCATATGAGTCACTATAATTCTGCTATCACTATTTTTTAACTTCATTTGTAAAAAAATAACTAAAAATATATATTTTCTTATATAATATATATCCTCGAATGTTAATACGAACTCATCTAGGTGCAGAACACAACGCGGCCGATAAGCGCCCAGCCTAAATTGGAACCTCGCTCTCGTATGATGACCAGCGGCTCGCGGAGATCAGAAACGCATCAGACACACACTACACAGCATCAAGCTACACACCAGACGGCTCCAAAGATGTCGCCACCGCACGATACACCGAGGTCAGTAAAGCACTTTTACCCTAACACTTACCCTAAGGTATAAGTCGACATTACCCCACCATAAAATCGTGTACGATATCATAAATTATATATAGTAATTTTATATATGAAATATTTTTACCTTTTTTACTAATAATATATAAATAATTATTAATATATTTATACATCATATAATATTTAAGTATCGATCTATAATGTAAATATTTTTGAGGGTAGAATGATATAGGGTTTGATAAAGTTATAACAGCATGCGATAATTTACACGCGTAACGGGACAGTGGTGAGAATAAAAACGGGACGAACGGGACAAACGGGACGAACGGGACGGGAACTGGTAAGACGCATGTTAAGAGCGCGTCTATATCATCATCAAGCGGACCGCCGCTTGGAGCCGAGCCCGCCACGCACAACGCCTCCGCTAGGGACCTAGCGCAGCCGAGACCCAGGTATTGTGGGTTATATGGATGCGATGATGGGATACCCACTATATACTCTAACAAGTGAACATAAGATATCATACAAATATATATTAAGAACATGATATATTATGTAATGATAAAAATATATATATTTATATGTGAATTGGGATCCCATCATAACATAAAATATATTAAATGTAACATTGTATAATAATTAATATGTGCCGAATATAATTCAGTCGTATAAGAAACAATGTAACATTTACTATAAAGGGTGATGTAATGTTTTTAGGCTTACATAATACACGTTTGTAAATAAATTTAAATTATTATTTTGTAGCACACACAGCTTTCACTTTTAAAACATAGTGGTGGTAATATTTGTTTTCATTTAAAAAAATATCTAACATATATATTAAGATTGCTACATAATACATCTTTTTTTTAATATTGGTTAAATATATAATAAATATTATCACTATGTACACAAGTGGCACTTAAATTGTAACATTAGTTGCACACAATTAGTTGTTAGTGATTTTTTTTTATATGGCAACACAATTCTAATGTTTTTTTTAATAATTCTGTTATACTTTTATATTAATTTGTTTTAATTTAAGATTATTTTTAAGATTTCTTTTTTTATTTAATATATAATTTGTATGATTATTCATTATTTCAGCTAGTTTAAGTTTTTTTGTGTTATTTTATATTCTGTTTGAAATAGGATAAATGTGTTTTGATGTTAGTTTGAATAGATTTGCCTTTTTTTGTTTTCTATAACACATGGAATGTGAGCATTTTTGTTTAAATATACAGTATGTTCAAATAGGAAGGCTTTTATGTGTTTTATACTATGAATGAATATGAAATGTTTTTTTTTCTTTGATTATTAACGCTTTTTAAGTTTTAATAGATCTTCCAATTTCATTATAGATATGTATGATTGAAAGAATTTTTTTATATTGCTTAGCTTTACTCTACTAGTTTAATTATATGAAAAACTAATAATTTTATTATTATTTTAGTAATTATATTTTTTTTTTCTCTATTATCACCTATATATATAATTTCTTTGTTATGTATAATATTATTAATATTATTATATGTCTGTACAGCCTCAATTCAAGCCTATCTACAGCGGGTGCTGGTAGTAACTCCGGAGCAGCAAGACGAGACTTCCCAAACCCACTCGTGTTCCCGAGGAATGTACCATCGAGATCTACCTTCCATTCTGGTGAGTAGAATAACTAACAATCTATATAATATATTAGATTTGATATACATTATATATTTGTTATGATAAGTACTTAAAAATTTACATAAATTCTGCCCATGTTGATGAAATAGCTAATTTGATATATTATATTTGATTCCTAATAATATTTACCCTTTTTTTAATATGTTTATCGTATATGTATATCCTGGAAAGTAGTGAATACAACTGTTCCTAACCCACACAGCCTATCAGAAATGATTCAAAAATCTTTATATATTGACCCTAATATAGAAAACTAATAATTGTCTAACCATATTAAAGTAACAAACATTGAATGATACATTATAACTCCATCCCTTTCAATCTTCAGGTCAAACCGAGCAATATAAAGATTGTGAGTAGACATATATATAAATATTAAATGTTCATTACTCACAGACTAGATATTAGTAATTGTCTATCCTCTTCCAACACATTTTATATATGTATATCCGTCTCTCTCCCACACTAGGTTAGAATAGGCCTATGATTCAATGTTCATTAAGTAGTTTATCGTTCATACTCTTCGCACATATGGAAAGTTATATCTCCGTCTCTTTCTAACACCAGGTCAAACTAGATCTCGAGGTGGGAGCGCCGGTGGAGCATATGGCGATGGAGGTTCTCCACACCAAGCTAGACCAAGCTTCTTCTCCAAGCTATCATCGAGATTCTCCAAGCGGTCAGTATATACACTAATCTAGACCTACATACATACATACACATACTCATGGTCTTTGAATGTATATCTACTAACTATGGTGTATGGTTTGAGGATGTTATATACATATAAACATATATATACATACAAGCAGATATAGAATTTATAAATCATTTGAAAAACTTTCAAACACATAACATATACACTGGTAATTTTTTAAAGCATTAAAACATTACTTTAAATATTAATAAAACCAGATTTTACTTATATCACTAATGGAAACACTTTGAATATTTATTTTTTACCTCGAATAAATTCAAGTCATAAATACTGCTCATATTAACTTAGATTTATTTCAATCATCACTTAAAACATTTTCTTCTATTTAAGCTTTATATTTTTCTTCCTCTTTATTGCATTCGCTTCCTTTTATGTAATATAAAACATACACACAAACATTCCACAGAATAATATTTTTTAACTAGTGACATTAACAGTGAAACTTGATAACTTCTTTGTATTTAAATATTCTATAACATCACATAATTTTGTTACAAATCTATTTTTTCACTAACATAATTAATATTAACACAGCACAATATAACTATGGTAACTAACTGACATATATTTTTGTTATAACAATGTTTTGTTAACATCCATTCGCTAGTTAGCTTGAGCGATCATACAGAGTTTGTGTTACTGTGGTAACATATACAATAAGTATAATATATGAACGGTAACACAAAACTCTATCAGAATGGTAACAGCCATAGCTCTGTCATGCCCTTTCACCCACGCTGTATCACAAGCTTTAGCACCATGTATAATATAAATAATATAAACAGATATTTTTCGTTATCTGTCATAGATGTGTTAACGCCTTATGGCAATAAATTATTAAAAATGAAAGGGTTGTGGAAAAGACTCGATATTAATTGAACGAACAGTGTTTGGGCTTATACAGTATGTTCAAAACCTGTTCTATATAATATATAATGTATTTGTTGTAAATAATTTCCATTAACGCAACACAATCAAATCTATCACTTATTAACAATATCGTTTTGTCGCTGACATTGTTGCGATTTTGTGTTTTTTTTTTTCTATTCTTTCTGTATGTACATATCTTGATTGGAATTTTTCTATATTTATATTTTTTTGTTCATACAATTTGATGCTCAAATCGTCTCCCTCTAAGATCCCGAGCTCCGACTATTTTTTTTTTGTTTTCCGTTTACTTTTATTTTTATTGTCGCGTCGACACAGGGGATGCACGATGCTAAAACCTCCTTTTCCTAACATCCTGTAGATGCACATGGATATATTTTTTTTGTAATTTTTTTTTCGATTTCCGCGTTGATTGATATATATGTGTTAATTTGATTGCCTTGACCGTTTGATGTAGTTTTCAAAGCATGATGTAATCCCCATACTGTTAACAGCGTTGTTTTTTTTTATATATTTTTTCTATATTGAGATATAACAAAAATAATTTTAATGAACGTGTAAGTATATAGCCGGTTCATAAATCGTTTGTGAGGTGTACGGATATTGATGTGTGACCTCTTTCGTGCATCCCCTCGTGTTTTTTTTTTCATTATTTTTTTTATTATTATTATTATTTTGTCTAACCGTACGCTTCTACTAACGATTCGTCGCGTTTCATACCGGTTTTTTTTTTATTTCCGCTTATAGTCTATCCACAACCCTTAAAAGTCGCAACGTGACGGTTTTTTTTTTGTTTTTGAATATAATATCATTATATATATACGGAGGGAGTTAGTATTGTGCATCTGTGTGTACGTTCCTGTCGGTGTGTCGGTGTGTCGGTATGTCGGTGTGTCGGTGTATCAGAGGGGGGCTGTTCGGCTATTTGTCGGCCAGATCGCTCACCCCCTTACGTTATACGCAGGTTGAATCAAAACCCGTGATCGTGATCCTGTTGTTCAACGATCGTGCTCACAGAGAAGATTCACGTTTTGGCTCTTATTATATTAATATTAATGTTTTCTAAATATATTTATCAATAAATAAGGCTAGATAGAGATGTGCAAAAAAAAATTTTTTTTTTTCTATTTATGTATCGAGAGTAATATATATATTTTTTTATCCAACGTCAGATTTTCTTGTTTGAAAAATACGGTTTGGTATATTCGTTTCTCATTTAAAAATAATAATAAGTTGATTATTTTCATTTTGATTATTTAAAAGATCGTTGGATGAAAAAATATATAAGACATAGTGAGTAAAGTGTTAATAATGTTTTTTTTTTTGTAATATTCACATATTGTAACGTCCCATTCAAGTTTTGGTTTACATTTATACGTATTACGATAAATATAATAAAGAACGCGACGACATTTCTGGCTTCATTTTATATTATTAAAGAAGTTCTTTTTTTTCTCAAATTTTCATACGAAAAAATGTATGTCATTTTGGATGACTTTTTTTTTATTTTTTCTTAAGAAAAATTTTGTTTAATAAATATTTTTGATATATTTAATGATATAATATGCAGCAGAAACCTAGTCCCGTCGCGAGACGCATTTCACTGTAGTATAAGTAATGTGTTCTTTGAATGAATCTTTTTTTTACATTCCAGGGATTTTTGTTCCGTTAATTTGACGTTCGACTCTAGCTAAGAATGCGTTTTTTTTTTATAATTTTTTATTCTGTTATCATAAAACATATTGAAATAGTTGAATTGTAACAATGATCACTAAACGCAGTTTTTAGAGTCGAGATTAGCACAATTTTTTTTGTATTCGGATTTCGCCTAAAGTATATTACGACGACTGAAGAAAAAAAATATTACATATTGTACATAATATAAATATTAACGTGTTATATTTCATATAGTTTTTAGTCTACGGGCTATAAAGCAGATACTTAACTGTTTTTTTTTTTTGGTATATTAATGTCTTTTCTAATGTTTGAGAATTTATTACGATTATAATGTCTATATAACTAACTATCTCTTTCCCCCCAATAGTTTAACGTAGTTTAGAGAGTGAGATAGAACTAAAATAGTTTTTAGTAATACATCCCTTAACGTCGGTACAAATACTCAGTAGATAAAATATATTATGTATACAAGAATATAACTCCAGACGTGAGTTCAGAAAATAAATCTTGTTAAAGAGGAATTTAGAAATTAAAAATAAACATCCTGTATATGACTGATACTTGGAAGAAAAGTTTCATCTTAAATAATAGAAAAAAAAATATTTTCTTAAATCCCATGAACAGAGTGTTCAAATTTATTATATGTGACAACACGAGAAGAAAACTTTATTTTATAGTGAAATCACTTAAAAAATATATTAATAATATTAATGTAGAAGTCAGAACTAAATGTATAAATATAATCTGTATAATGTATGATATTGGTTAATTCTAATTATTTTCTTTACAACATGCAACGCTAACGAATGATTTGATACAATATTTTTTTGTACATAGGGTACCGTTTATAGAAATCTGTATTAATTCTCTATATACGATTAGTTACAATTTGTAAATAAGAAAAAAAAATATTTTGGATTCTGCTAAAGAAGTTCTATATAATAGTATATTATATGAATATTTTCGGTAATCAAAAAAAATTTACAATAATCATGTAATTTGTCGTTGAATAGTTTCGATCAAACTTCCAATTCGTCTCGTCTAACCTTTGACCCGTAGTTTTTAGTGAAATTTCATATTTTGATTATTTACATCATGTGAATCCTATTTAACATTCTTTATACACTTTTTTTGCATTTTTTTTGAAAAAAAAATATCAAAAATAACACAAACATTATTTTTCATTAAGATTTTTTTTTGTTATTAATCGTTTTCAGTATTTTTTTATATATTTTTTGTAAATTTATTGAAAAAACAATTGGGTGCTTTTCTGGTATGTTATCGATGATGCCAAAACATTTAATCTCTTTACAGAAAATACATTTTTGACATCACCATAGTCCCATACTTTGCTGACATTTTTTCTTTAATGATGAAATATTTTCTTTATATAAATAATTATTAAGCAATAAATAACATAGTAATATATAGGAAAGATGCAATACATCCTAAACTAGTGTAAGTTATTTTCGTTTTTTTTTTCTTGCACATGTATTATTTGATAATTCTTTCTTTGTTTTTTCTTTTTGATATAATTGCATTTTTTTACACATCCAAATATTTCAGCACTTTTCATATAGATCTTTTTTGGATTTCAATTTCAGCCTTGAATTATGACAATTTCAATATATATATTTTGTTTTATAGTGATTATAACTTTGCGTCAGTAACGATATATAAACTGTGTAAAAATATACAAAAAATGCTAAATATTTTTTTGTATATTTAATAATTTATGAGGGTAAAAACATTTTTATTATTAAATGTGTTTTTTGTTCCTCTATCCACATTTTGTAAACGTGTCTCAAGCTCATGTCGTGAGTGATCGATATATTTCTGTCATTTATTAACGAATTATTAGTTCTGTATGTGTTGCGCTTGTCCTAATAATCAGGTTTTCAATACAAATGTGTTTTATTTTATCTTTGAATACCTTTCCAGCGGAAAAATATACTAATTATACGAAAAATTATGGATTACATATATATATATTTTACGTTACGTTGCGACTCAAATAAAATTCTCCCGAAAAAAAGTTGTTTTAAATCTGTGTACATATTTTTTTGTTGAATTTAAATGATTTTTTATGTTAATTCTTTGTTTTTTTGGATGTGATACGTAATTTATTATTGTATACATAAAAGTGTTGTTATTCAGACTGTCTGTGTTGGGGGAGGCGACCGGGAGACAGAAACCTCGAATATTTTCCTCTCTGGACATCCAGCGGAGGTAGGGGAGGGGGGAGGGCGCACATACATATAACATACCGTGGATTTTGGCAGTTTTAATAATGATTGGAGTTATCAGTAACGATAGTACCCCATGGGTGTGTGTGTGCGTGTGTGTGTGTTGAGACGGTGTTTTTTTTCCTACTAATGATTTCAGATGCAATTGAAAGATTGCGTTTTATATTTTTTGAAGGCGTCAGTACATTTTGTTTGTATGAATGTTTAATGGTGTTTTGTGTTGAGTGATGTTCGTATGTTTTCGTCTCAATAGCACATGAACTAATAAATGACGATGTTTTCTTGGACTTTTATAACGTGATTCAACCAATGATAAAGAAAATCCTAGTTATACGGCATTTTATGTCCAATCAAAATGCTTTTTTTGACATAGTCTTCTTAGTCTCTAAAAATTAATTATTATCATATTTCGCTTATTTGGTTGAATCACAATTCTTTGTCAATAATACTTAATACAGTTTTTGGAGTTTTTTTACGAAAGTAATGTATTTTTTTAAAACAATCGTGACTATCTAACAAATATACGAAGAAAAAGGTTGAACTTTTGCATGGTTTTTATCGGTTTTACGGTATCGGTTATATATCCCGCTGATTTTATAATCTGTCATGGCTTTTTACGGTTTAATCGTAAAACGAATTTATATTAATCTGAAAGATATAATATTAATATTAAAAAGAACTGGTAAGTTATGTTTAAGCATGAATCTCAGTATGTTAGATAGTTTTATTTCACATTATTTTTGCTTCGTGCGCTTAATTTGATTATTATTTTATTTAAACTGCACTCATTTATTACATTTTATTATATCAAGCTGATTTTTTTTTAAATTTTTGAGATTCACAATTTTTTTCTTGAATAATTTTTTCCTACATCCAGATTATTCGTTTTTTCTTACTGATAAATTATATTTTTGTACTTGTAATCTTTACCGTCGGCTTGATATAAGTCCGTTAGTGCGTGCCCCCCTTCCCCCCTCCTAGCGTTTACGTTTTTCTGTTTTTAGGCCTATCGACGTTACAACACCGAAGCATGCTGTAGGGGCTAGCCCGCAAACCTTGCTTGGGTAATTATTTTCATTATTATTATTTTTTTATTATTATTTATCATCATTTCTAGGACGCATAACATCCGATATGCTTCTAACAACGCCATCACATCTAGTTGAACTATCTAACAGCATTTGATAGCGCTTCGATGTTTTTTTTACATTTTTTTGTTTTTTATCTTATAATTTTTTGTTATATTGATTTAACATCACTCTAATTGAAGGTTTTAAGATTTGGTTTTTTTTGTGTATTGAACAATGTGTGTCTAATTATAGGTTTAGTTGTATGAGGGTAGTTTTAATTTTGATGGTGTTTGTTTCATTATAGACAGGGTACCGAGGAGCAAGTAAAGCCGAGGGTACTCCGGTTCACTTGGAGTATGAAGACCACCTCCTCTAGGGACCCTAACGAAATCATGGCTGAGATAAGGAAGGTAGGTGATTCAGGAGTTGATAGAAATACATAAATAATATCTGACTTTGTGTAAAGAGATAACCTTGTTTATATTCCTTGTTTATTAATATTAATGTAGATTTTTGGGATAAAAAATCTTAATTTTTTTTCGTGCTGTATTTTTATTTTTTCTTATTTTTAACTTGAGACAGTTTACAAACTTTATTTGCTTCTCAATCTTATCTTAAGTTTATCCTTCCTAGAAGAAAATATATTGAACATTTTCTTAACAGAGCCAATCATTTGTAATCGTTGTAATTCTTAACAAAATTCTTTGGCATAAATAAAATATATATAAACTAAATGCTGATAGTCAAAATGAAGTAGTTATTGGACACAGGATATTCTTGACTTTGAAACTATATTACGCAATATGACATTAATTAACACGAGTAGCATTCGAAGCTTACTCTAGAGATAGTTCAAATTCATTGAAATATATCCCTACTAATAATATAAATGCGAAATTAACTCTGTCTGTCTGATCGCTTTCACGCCTAAACCACTGAACTGATTTTAATGAAATTTGGTACAGACATAGAGTTGACCTTGAGAAAGAACATAGGATAGTTTTTATCCCAGACTTTTGAAAGGTTCTTTTGGAAACGCGATATAAGCGAACTCCACGCGAAGATGCGGGCGGAAAGTATATAATATAATATGAATCTCCTCGAAGGTTTTGGACGCCAATAATTGTGACTACGAGCAGCGTGAGAGGTTCCTTCTGCTGTGTGTACACGGAGACCCCAACGCTGACTCACTGGTGCAGTGGGAGATAGAGGTCTGCAAACTGCCAAGGCTGTCGCTGAACGGAGTGCGCTTCAAGAGGATATCTGGTGAGGGACGGACACACACACACACACGCACACACACACGCACACACATACAGACAAATAGAACTGTAGACATTGTATTATGAATAGGGAATATGGACGTAAAGATTATGTGGATGTTGGTTGCTCTTTAAGAATATATGTATATACTGAACTGATTGTGATGAAGTATGGCAATAATGTAACTTAGATAGTGGAGTGCGATATGGGCTATGATTTTATGAAAATTCTAGTACATACTTATTTTTGGGACTATGGTATGTATTCTGTATGTAGTCGAATCTATTATAGGTGACGTCGTCTGTTAAGTAGATGATAAAAACTTGTATACCAAAAGGGCAAGTAGAAGTATTTCTCTCGGACTAACTTTTCGAACTCTTTTGTAATTTACATACAATATGTATTATCATTGGTAGTATTTTTTGTTTCCCCTTTTGTATAATTTAAGTAAAAAAAAAAATTGTGTTAGGTTAATAGAAAATACTGTCATTTCCCATGCCGTGATAACTTTTAATTGAAACAACACTTGTCTAAAAATTACCTTTATTTTAAAACTTATAAATGGTGTATGTTTTGTAATTTGTCCTTAAATAAACTCATAATTTCCAGGCACAAGTATCGGCTTCAAGAACATTGCGTCCAAGATCGCCAACGAGCTCAAGCTGTGACTGCCCGGGAGCGTCCCCCCTCCCCCGCCGCCGCGCTCGGACAGTCTGCGTCTGTCGGCCGAGGACATGGTACTATCAGCCAACGCGGGCGCGAGGACCTCCACCGGAGCCCTGGCGCACTACCTGACCGCCGAGCTGCTCGCAACACGCCCCCAGCCGCGATCGGCGCTGTCTCTCAGAGTGGACAGCGAGCCGGCGCCCTGCATCAAACTGACAGCCAGCGCGCACGCTCTCCCTTATATACCCATACTGCCCCCTCCTCCGCCGCCCGCAACTCGCCCCGCCCCCTTGCCGCTGGAGCCCCTCCCCCCGCCGGAGCTATTCGACTTCTGACCCGGGACGCTGACTAATAATATATTCGTCGTTCGTATAATGAACGTATAACACTCCATATAGTGAGTCTTGTACCGGCTTGTATGAGCCGTCGTTTTATTCAATCTCAACTCTTGTAAATAGACAGACGGCGGGAGTGACGTTAATTTACGTTATAGAGTAACGTCTGTAACATCGGTTATAGTAAGGGAGACATGTGTATGAGATGTGCCAAGCGCCACACGTTCTCTGTTTAATAATAAACTCATAGGAATGTTCATTAAAGTGACCGCTATCGATCATGTTGTTTTATTTTGTATTATAAATATATATTAACGTTTAATGTCGCGGTATCAAATATTGTTTTAACTGTAGGTAAGTGTCCGGCGAGCGTCCCGCGGCTTCTGTTTATTATATATAATGTTTATTTAATGAATCCTCTCTCTGCGTGAGTCCGCGGGCCGCTGGCTGTATGTTTTGTGCTAACGCTTGTTTATTTCTTATCGTGTATGTAATGATGTACAAATGAGTTGTAGCTCAACGATACAAGTTAGTGTAGTCTTAATTATAATTTCCTTGAAGTTTAAATGACAAATATACATTTAATTAAACTGATGTCGATCGCGCTGTACGTTAAGGCTTACGAGCGGATAATTTCATCATGTTTGCTGTTTTTTAAACTAGATAATGGATTATAATTATAAATGAAGAACGTGTCGCTTTATTGTATGGACACGGTTTTAATAAACAGCAACATAGTTCATAGCGTCGGTCACACGAGGTCTGTATGTGTGTGTGTGTGTATGTGTGTGTGTGTACACGCGTCTCACATTTCTCTGTAACTACCTGTCTCTTTCTAATTATAAGGCTGAATTAGAAAGTCGTTACAGTTTGTATGTGATCAAAGTATTATGTACTTTGTAGTGATAGCAATAAAGTTCACTCTCCCCCGCCCCGTCTCCGCCAACCTTCTGTCCGTGTGTCGCTTCGTGTCTGTGTTCTTCTAACGGATATTTTTTTCTATAATATATGTAAGTGTAGTGTTATATTTTACATGAGATCACAACTTCTGACGTCACGACCTGTGTAGCGTCGCGTGTGGACGCCTGTTATAGTTTAATATTATGGAATTCTTATGTTATTTGCATATTATACGGAATTGTAAAAAAAATGTATTCAGTTTTTGTTTTATTCCATTAGATTATTTCCGTCCCTAATAATTTCTCCTCATGAATTTCTAACAGCAGTGTTGGCATTTTTTTATTGAAATTTAAAATATTGATGTAGTTTTATCAAAGTTTTTAATCGGTTTGTTTTTATATAAGGCGACGCGTTGAGTCGAGTACATAATGAATGTTTACATAATGTAGTCCAATATATGAGTTTTGTTTTACAAGTGTAGTGTAGGCCGGCTGTGTCAGCAGCAACTGGATAATAAAATATTATTTTTAATTCCATATAGTGTTTTATTTATATGAGAAGATTTATGTATATATAATACTTAAGTTCATATAATTTGGAATTTTAACTTGCGTTTGGCATAAAGTCCATATTTATGTTCTAAACTTAATGTATCAAAAATACTAGCCTATATAATAGTATGAATAATAATATCAATTTGCGGTGAATAGAATTATCTTCATTACAGATATTCGTTTCAATAATTAATGATTTTAATTTTCCTAGTAATCCTTAGTAGAATTGTGACTTATTACGTTTGCTTTTTTTCTTGTAACTGGACGATCAAGATAAAAAATGTACTATTTTATAAAAAATCAATACTTTTTTCTCTAATGCCTTATCTCTCAATCTTCTTATATGTATTTCATATAAAAATTTACTATTAATAATCAGATTTTTTTTCAATCACTATTTTGTGTCAACATTTACTAAAACACTACACAAATCGAGCTAAAAACTTAAAAATATTTTTTAATAACAAAGAGTTTATATTACCGTAGCCATAAGATTAGACAATAGTTAATTATTTCAAAATAAAATTTGAGTTACAAACAGAATTATAACATTCAAAATGATAAGCGCGGGGTGCTTGATATATTAAAGGTTATACAATCATTCTATTGTAAACTATCTATGAGTGGAGAGTTATGGAAAGTTTTATTCTTACGAAATAACTTATTGTAATATAATCTGTATCTTTTTCAATATATCAATAAAGTTGATGTGGCCAGCTCGAAATTTCTTGTTATTTAAAGTGCCTTAAAACTTGACTATTACCTTTCATACAAAAAAAAACTATTTTGTAGGAAAATAAATAATAAGATGAATTAAAACGTAATAACTAAAGTTATGCAAAATGTTATATTTGGACATCTTCCTCCAAGGATATGAGGTTTATTTTTCAGCACCACATTAATAACTACGATTTTATTGTAATATTTCTCATGCCAACAATAAAAACAAACAAAAAAACATGAAAACTCTCTATAAATATATTTTTAATTTAACTTTTTATTTCAATCAACATGACAGTTACATTTTTTAATACATCTTAGTCTATGGCAGAGTTTTACAACAATTTTATTTTCTATCATAAATTAATTAAATACATTTTTAATCTAAGATTTGTTTTTTTTAAATATCTATATAAGAATAATTTATTAAATCTTACATCTAACAATTATTTTACAGTTTATAATGAGTAATACAATCGTAAAGCTTAGTGTAAAGCTTCCCTGACATTGGCATTATCGGTTCTACTGTAGCCTTAGTACAAGTTCGCTGCGACAAATAAAAAACGGCGCGCTTTTAGTTTCTCATTCATATCTTACGATATTACTATCACATGAAAAGTTATATGAATTTAAAACTGATTACGATCATTATTTACTTTGTATATGCAGACTTGTAGTAAGTATTTTGATTAATTATTAAAATCATGAATTATCTTTTTTAATGGGAACTCCGTTTAAATCTATCTCGGTGCTCGGTCTTAGTGGTGGTTTGAACCCGTATTCTATTCTGACGTCACTAACTTTAGGCATTCTCTCCGTTCGTCTCAAACTCTCCGTGTATTCTTTATTTTTCTCCCAGCTCTCGTCGTAACTATCAACCGGCGCTGGTCCGTAGTATTTAACATCTCTGTGTGTGGGTCTCGTCGTGTTGTATGTGTATGAAGACGCGTATTGTTTTTCCAGGTTTTTGTATACGGGAGTTATATTTTGTATGTTTTTGAGAACGTGGGCATTAGCTGGTTGTATTTGATAGTTTGTTTTAGTCTCCGCGGGTGTCTGTGTATACTGGTCCAAGGCCTGTTGCTTGTAGTCTTCGTGGCTCAACTTCAAGTAATCCGCCACTCTCTGTAAAGCTTCCTGACTCACGCCATAGCTGTATAGAGTTGTCACTTTATCGTTCTTCTCGAATTGATATGGATGTTCAGATTTTTGGTTATTTTTCTCAATAAAGTACGGAACTTCATATGGTATGTGTACTGGATACGGTACTTTCCTCTCAACGATTCTATCTACCGGATACGGAACTCTCTTCTCCACGGGATAAGGTTTGTCGACGTATTTGGTCACGACGACGGGTTTTTCTACGATCTTCTCCACAATCTGTTTTACTGGATACGGAACTTGCACTGGGACTCTCTTCTCAACTATTCTGTTCACGTGGATCGGAAATGGTACTTTCTTCTCTATAATTCTGTCAACGGGATACGGTTTAGGAACTTCTACTGGAATCGGTATCTTCTTCTCCACGGGATAAGGGACAGCAATCTTCTTTTCTATAACCTTCTCCACTGTTACCGGTTTCTCAATGGGAACAGCCACAGGAACAGGCGTCTCAAAAGCCACGGGATATATAACATTCTTCTCAACCGGAATAGCTACCGGTATCCCAACAGGCGTGGGAACCGGAAACGGATGAATCATTTGTTTCTCGACAACCTTTTCAACCGTATACGGTACATGAATGGGTCTATCTACGTATACCTTATGTTCAACCGGATACGGAACCCTGACTTCCACAGGATAAGGTTTGATCACTTCAACCGGGTAAGGTTTATCTATATATTTGGTAATTTCCACCGGTTTACCCTCATCCCTATCAGAAGGTTTTTCCACGAAGCGATCAACAAAAGTATTGACCGGGACTGGCTTCTCAATAATAATGGGTTGAATCATCTTATTTGTGTAGTACGCATCATCATGGTCTGTGTTCGACTGTATCTGGTCTCCGCGTACATTCTTATCATCTATATGTTCATCTTGATTTTCCTTTTTATCAGAATTGTGATAATTATCATAATTATTGCGATGTTTTTCCTTATCAGAGCTGTTAGGTTGATATCTCTGGTAGTAAACCTTCCTAGGTTGCTCTCGATTGATTCTGCCGTCTTCCAAATACTCATGATATTCAACATCATTGATGTGTGTTATGTCTATTGGAATTGATTCTTGTATTTCCACGAGCGTTTTGCCTTTACGAGGTCCCTGTACTGTTCTTTCGACAAATTCGCTGTCTGAAGGCTCGTGGTCTACCAAGTCGGAAAACTGAGTGCTATTATCATTGAGTAACCTCAAAGCTACAGTTATTGGTGTTAGATAATGTTGACTGATAGGTCTTGGAGTTATATTCACTAAATCTTCTTTATTATCATGAGTATTGTTAATGTTTTTCTTGACACCAATTATTTGGTACCCATCATTGATATACGGAGTCACTGAAGATATGAAATTATTCAGAATCTGTTCTTTATAATCACCTTGGTCCTCTACGATTATTGGTGATGCGAATTTAATATCTCTTTCTGTTTGGTAATTATATTCTTTGGATGGATTTTTAGTTAATGTAAACGGATGTTCTACATTGCTGTCAACGATTTTACCGACTTTCGCTGTAACGGTGATTCTGCTGCGTGGACTTCCGTTGTTGGTTTTGAAGCTGATGCTTGATGATTTACGCTTAGGTTTGATCAGGTCGTCACTGTAGTGTATGAATCTTTCCGCCGCGTGATTGATTCTTAATAAATCGTCATTTGATATGAGGTCCTGTGTGGAAGCCACAAGTCTTGAGATCCCCTCATCTTGAGTAAAAATCACCGGTCTTGATGTAGAGTAATGATCTATTTCAGTATCATAATGAAATTCTTTGCTATTTGAATGGCTCGTAATTAATTTATTATCCTTTTCCCCAAAATTACCATTTATTTTCGTGTTATATGCGAGTGTTTCTTGAATATTTTCGTTCTGAACTTTGTTGATGTTATTTGTTTGTGTGTTTCCTTCGTCATTTTTACATTTATTATCTTTGAACACAACAACGGGTCCATTTTCTCTGGTTTCTATAATTTCATCTTTATTAATATCTGTTTGTTTCTGTTCACGATTTATCTCATAATTATTATTAATATCTTGGTTATGTGTCTGTATATTGTAGTAAGGATTTAAAGCGCCTCTATCGGAATAATAGTGATTGGGTATTGATGAATATTGTATAAAATTTGGTTGGTTTGATATGGTTTGTGTATATGGTGCTTGGTACGGGAACTCTTGTTGTAAGAAATAAACTCCCGTTGGAGTTTGTCCGGAATTTTGAAATGGTGTCTGACTTAGATTTAATTGAGGTGAAACTGGCGTCTGAAATAAAAATAATACACGTTCAAACATTTTTACAAGTAAAAGTAATACATATACAGGTCTAGAGCGTAGAAAAATATGATTACTTAAGCACAACTTTATCAAATAATCTAATTCTGAATAGTAAGTTATATAGTTATACGATGGAATCATGCGAGCAGATGTAAAAACTAATAGTAAGTCATTATATATGTTTGCGACAAAGAAACATTACGATGTTATTTTGTAAACACCTTTTGGGACTAAATATACAAATTATTAAACATTCTTCTCAACAGGACTTAGACTATTTAAAAGGGGATTTTTACTTAATGAATTTTGCAATTTCTTAATATTTTATTATTAATATCAAAATATTAAATTTGGATAATATTGGATTTTTAATTTATTTCTTATACCTAAACATTGATTTAGATGTAATTAATACTAGAGAAGTTATTAATATCACACCTGTCCAGAAAGTTCCACAGCTTTTTCACCAAGTGCGATGTTCGTAGAGTGATGGTGTTGAGGGTCGCTGGTAGTGACGCTGAGGGAGCTGTGGTAGCCGCTACCGTCAGCTAGGTAACGGACTTGTTGCTCTGACTGATAGACAGAATTAGTGATAATAGATTAAATTTGCATTAATTCGATGAGAATTTTCAAAATTTGTGGCTTGAGAATACCAAAGATGAAAAAAATATTAATTTTTGTTTGGTATGGCCACGCATATAGTATGTCACACGAATTATCCTTGTCACAAGTTTTTTTTTTATAAAACCCAAATATGTGAAGTTCACATTTTTTAAATTTAATTATGTATTTAAAAATATTCGAGAGAAAACCGCTTCTTTAATTTTTTACTTATATTTATCGAATATCCAGACTTAGCGTATTGGTATTTTAAATTTTAATGTGTGACGACATAAAAGTATTAACCTCCCAGCCCTGATTCATTTCTGTGCTACCCTCCCTCCTAATTTAAGTGTGACATACTTTATTGATAGTCCTTTACAAAAAACATGCTTAGATTTTAGACGAAAGAAATTGATTGTTTAACGTGATACCCAATTAAATTTGGTTTATTTTAATAACAATAACCATATTAATGTACCAAATTAAGAAAAAAAGAGTTTTTTTTTGGAAATATCTTAGAAAACGTTATAAAGAACATGCTTAGATATTCATAATGTTATTTACCTGAGGTAATTTCACGAAGTAATGTCCGATAGTCCCAGGACCAGCTGGTGACATGTGCCAGCCCCAAGATATTGGATCGTTCTGGAAACGAGAAAAACCAAAAGATAAGACTTGTCAATGTAGCGAGATTATGAAATCACTTTCAAATATTTATCACTAGGCTAGAAGGTTCATTCCTACGTAATTTTAACGAGAAACAAATTGGGTATATTTCACTTAGATGCGTGTTTAAACCCAACAGTTTGGTTATTATTGTATATGTTATGATTAACCTACCAAAGCTTTAACAAAAAAAAATATGTATTACTAGCTTTCCGCCCGCAGCTTCGCCCGCGTGGAGTTCGGTTATATCACGTTTCCAAGAGAACCTTTCAAAAGTCTGGGATAAAAACTATCCTATGTTCTTTCTCAAGGTCAACTCTATGTCTGTACCAAATTTCATTAAAATCAGTTCAGTGGTTTAGGCGTGAAAGTTTAACAGACAGACAGAGTTACTTTCGCATTAATAATATTAGTAGGGATGGAGAATAATTAGAGTATGGCTAAATCTATGGGCATCAAATGGTTTTTTGAACAAAATGGGCAAAATTGAGATGACTTTTTGGGGTCAGGTGAGTAAAGATCTTTTAATAAAGACGATTTTTACCAACAGCAGAATACAAATAGAATAAGCAGCATATTAATTCAGTAAATTAAATCTCCAAAACGCTATTACTGAAAAAAACTAATATTTTACGGATTAACTACTCATTTATAATTATTTTTAACACATACTCCCGACTTTTCGGTTACTTTGCAAATCACAGGAAGAAATAATAACAAACGGATAAAAAATACGAAAATATTCGTTTCATTTAAATGAATAATCGCGAAAATCTTACATCTCATTACAATATTTATTTCCTAAACTCCATCTTGTTTAATTTTATGCAAATATTGCGTACGTAATAAAATAAAAAGTACGTTCTTGTTCTTGCAAAATATTTTTTTATATTTAATATACACTTGTTGTAAGATAGAAATATATATTTTCGTATAACAAAAAAACACATTAAAAATATATCAATACCAGTATATGTACTTTCACAGAAATGATTTTATTGCATAACATTCGTTCCCAGTGAAAGTTATGACTTCCTATGAACAATGGCAGCGAGATATATTGTGTTCGAATCATTCAGCCGGCTAAATACCACAGATTATACCATGTTATATTTCCTAGTCCAGTTTTTATGGCAACCCCGTGGAAAGGGCAAGTGGCAGAACAGCTTTCGATGCTGTTTTTGCCATTTCACTTTTACTCTACCATTTCCTAGGAACGCCTTCGTTATTTCCTCTTACCATAAAGAACTGATTTATATACATAAATAAAAATGTTGTGCGTTTGTAATTATAATAATTCTTTTTTATTGCTCATATGTATGTTTGTTTTGTTCCGGCTTATCTCTGGAATGGCTGAGCCAATATTGATTGTACTTTCATTTTTTGATAGTTCATGTAGTAAGGAATTACTTACGATGCGTTAATTTAAGACATTGATTATTTTTTAATATACTTAAAGAATAAAGTTATAAAACAAATGAAAAAAGATCAAAGAAAAAATATTAAAACTTTTTTAATCTATAAAATAAAGCGGCATAATTATTTTTGATGTTTTACAAAACTTTGTGTTATTTATATTTAAATTTAATTTCGCAGCAATAACTAGTATAATCATTAAAATCATATGTTTTAATTAGGAAATGTATATATATGGCACAATAAGTAAAATTTAATATCCAAAAATTCCAAAATGTAGATTAAATCGAAAGAAATATGTAATTTGTAACACCATTGTTTGTTAATCACTTCCGGTAAATGTTGCCGCTTTTATATACAGTAGGACCCCGATTATCCGGACCTCGGTTATCCGAATTCGCGATTATCCGGACTGCCAATCGCGACGAGTTTATTCTTACATTAACATGTCAGAACTTGCATAACGCCACGCCACTTATAACTAGGGCCCGGATAAATATGTATTAAAAAATCTAAAATATGTACATAACATATGGACGAAAAAATCAAAAAATATGGAAAAAATATGGATTATAAAATTAAATAATTTCATAATTAAACGTCGTTAAGAAACATTTAAAAAACGATGAAAAAAAGGAGTGAAATATTTATTTCAAGAAAAAATAACAGTTTTATTCAACTTCCATTACACCAGCCTTGTCAAATTGGTTGCAATACACAATGACGTGCTTCTTTAAATTATCAAAATGAAAACTGACCATTTGGTCGAAATATGGCCTTATATTTGCTGAATGATCTCTCCACGTCACATGACGTGATGGATTATATAAACTTAAACATTAAACATGCTTAATTCAGTAATTGTCTAAGCCATGTCTACAGCCCTCGAAACTTTCGCACAGAATTTTGTTATTTTTTTAGCGTTTTAAATCCTTTATTTTTATCCAAAACATTAGTGGCGGGAACGTAAATTTTATGTTTTTTTGTGAATATATGGATGATTGTGACATTTTCTTGTAAAATATGGACTTAACTTTGAAATATCGTAAAATATGGAAAATAAAAGTTGGTTTTTCACAGTCTAAATATGACAATCCATGTAAAAAACACTTTCTAGACCGGAAATAGCTTAAATTAAAAATATGTATTTACATATTAATCCGGGCCCTAGTTATAACACTTATGCGTACATTATGTACAATTTCTTAATAAACGTTGATTTTAGCTCATATGTATTGGTTGTTTTAAATAAGCACCCAACATTACATATGTATGGTACAGACTACATATGTACGTATGCAAAAAGCCCGTTTTTCTTCATATATTGGATTATCCGGACTTTCAATTATCCGGATGCCTACCGACAACAATTAGTCCGGATAATCGAGGTCCTACTGTAATTGAATAAAAATAATACGTTCTGAAATAATTACTTACAAAATATCATTTTCATCAATGAAACAAAAATTAAGGAAAAATTACCAAATTTCTAATTTAGACTGTTTATTTAGAGTTTATTAATATTTTTTAATTACACCTGTAATAGCATTATTAAAATTTTTCTTATATTAATATTTCAACACATTAATAGTTTTTTTTCTAAATATTACTACTACATAAAATAGCTCTATGTAACTTTTCGCGCCTAAAGTAAAAGTAGCCATAACATTTTCCATTAAAAACTACAATTGTATTCATTATAGGAAGTTTCGACTTAAAATCGCTATAAAGGATTGCTACTATTTTGTTCCTCGTTAAAAAACATTTTCATGATTTAATATACAACCTTTTTGATTAAAATATTACAATTTATATTTCATATCGGCTGTATAAATAGAATTGCAGCCGTTATCTTAAAAGTTGATTTAAAAATATAACAGCAATATAACATAATATGCAATATACGAAATGCTTGTAGGTTTATAAATTATATATAAGTTAATACTACAATAATAAAATATGGATCATTCTATCAAAAAACACACTATAGTCCACCTTAGTTAACTAAACATCCATCAAGTTTCCATACATTTGTTAAATTATAAACACAGTTATTTTATCAGATTACAAAAACAAAATGTATGACAAACGTAACTATTACGTAAGTACAATGATATAATGCGTTGACAATTTATTACAAGATAGTTCCGCTCACAATGTGTTATTATTTCTTTGTGTAATGCATTCCGATGTTGGCGGCTTTTTTGTTCTAAGCGGTCATTGTACTTCACAAACACATGTCTTGACGCTACAAAAACGCGCGAATTTGATATTTAATATTTCAAATTTCGAACATTTGTTTCTTTTTTTTTTTAATTCGTAACATTTTCATGATCGAAGTTGTTTGAATACATATTAAATCTTTAAACTTCATGTAATAAAACTTTTTAGTTGTTATTTTACTGAATTATAACCTAACTTTCTTATATATCTGACTGTAAGTCCTATAATAATTCGTTGAATGATACAATATATTAAATAATCGTTACATATATATTAATAATTAAACAAAGAATACAAAATATATGTACTATTTCTTAGTTGTTACCTCATCGGAAGTAAATTAGAGAGCAATGGATCCGCGCATGTCAATTTTAAGTGAAAGTGCTTCCATTTACATATATATATGTATATGTCGGTTCATTCATTAAACTAATGGCCTTGTTATGGAAATGAATACACCAAGTCGATCATGCCGGAGCTTTTTGTGATGTAATTCTTTCTTTCAAATCAAAATTATACTCACAGCATTGTTCTGAGCGAACACAATCACACAAACACTGCTTAATAATACGACTGGCGCCAACTGGAAAGAGAAATATAATTAAATATTAATTAATAAAGTATGTTTTTAAATCTGTCAAAATTTGACAGTTAATGTTTTTTGTAAATGTTTTTACGGCTCTGGATACGAATCCTTTTGATCCTTATCACAATTTATAAGATTATCCATTTTAAGTATTGCATTATTTAAAAATCAGTTTATTTATTTTAGATGCTAGATATAAATTTATTCAATAATTTTGGATAATTAAAAGCAAATAACTCATTCATACCATATTGATATTTCGGCCAGCGTTAATTTTAAATATTTTTCTCGCTCTCCACAAATCTGTAAAAGGGAAACATATATTTCAATATTATTCAGATTATTTACTTACTACACGTTTTTTATACATATTTGATACTATATAATCATTTAAACCATTTTTTACCTGTTAAGGTCTAAGACTTTCGTTAGTATTCATTGAAATAAAACAAATATTATCGGATGTACTACACGTTTTTAATAATTTTAACTACATACTCCCGATGGTTACTTTGCAGCAACCGTGATCACGGGCAGACGCGATAAAAATGTGTAATTCATTTTGTACCTTATTGAAAAGTGATATGTTGAAAAATTTGAAACTAAGAAACAATGCATTTATAAACAAAAAGTACTCCTTACTAATCAATACTCTTATAGTTAATTTCAAGTTTTCGTTCATAAACATACGTTGATACTACAAATAATTTATGACTGAAATATTTAAAAATTGTTATTTATGGTTAAAGATACTTTATTTTCTCAAAAAGAAATTACATTTCACTTACTTGAGAAAATTATGACTATAGTTTAACATATTCTTACAATAAATTTAGTTTACTTATAAAACTAATAGTATTATAAGAAAGAATCTGAAGTATACACATATAGTAGGACTTTTGTATATTTAACAAATATCTGAGTTCTTTAATCTTACATCGCTATTGTATGTTTTCAGAATTATATAAAATTTAAGCTTTCAATAATTAATTTTTTATGTGTTATTTGTTTTCATTCAAGGAATAGTTTAAAATTATTTATTATTCTTATTTATATATCGCCACTTAGAACTAACGAAAATTTGTCAGTTTTTTATAAAAAACTAGAAGACCCGGCGAACTTCGTATCGTCCTATAATAATCAAGAAATATCTATTACGTTTTTTCTTTCAAAATCTCCGTGTTTTGAAGTGCGACAGAATGGTTGACATATTAGTTGTCAAATCTAATCACAAATAAAAAAAAAAGTTTGTATCAACAACTACTAATAAATTAAAAATTAATTAAAAAAACATTGTCCGGCGGACGAAATTGTGAATTTAAACCATTCCGAGATCCCCTTAAACACTCACTAAAATATTTCATCGAAATCGGTCCAGTCGTTTGAGAGAAGTTCAGTGAACACACACAACACACTCACAGAAGAATTATACAGGGTGACTGGTGAATTACTATCGATACTTGAGGACGTGATATTTGACGATCATATATGACAAAATAAAAATTAATATAACATAAATATTAATAAACTTCTAAGTAAAGTTCACCAAAAGTTATGTAATTAATTACGCATCCTGTGAACACCCTACAGATTCGGTATACACACACACACACACACACACACACGCGTAGTGTTGTATCAGCACGCCGCCGCACGCGTCCACACTTGGAACACTTGGCACGTGTCCCCGCTTTATTTATTTATACGGAAATTTGGTCAAAAATTAAGTACCTATTTTTTTTACATAATTCGAATGAGAATCATGTACCGAGTACTCTCCTCAAATATTGATAGTAATTCACCAGTCACCCTGTATATATATAAAGATAATTAAATAGATTATAATATATACAATAATATATTGTAATATCGTATGTATAATATTTATAATTTATATATATAATTTTGAAGTTATCAAACTATAACCGATATCTAGATAAAGACGAGAGAAATAGATAGTATGTTTACAAAATTACCTACGAGAAACAAATCACGCGTTCTTACCAACAGACCGCAAAATTTTCAGAACCAAATAGATTTTATATCAAGATGAAATTACAATACGGTTTTCACAGAATAAGTGTAATATAAGTCAATAGTGGCCGAGTGGTTAACAGGCCCGCCTCTCATGCTCGAGGGCGCGGCTTCGATCCTGGCAAGTACCAATGTGATTTTTCCGAGTCATATGTACTTCTAAGAGTATTTAGACATCACTGATTAATGCATTCCCAAAGAGGGTTGATATCAGGCAGGTCGTAAAAACAATTAGCCAAAACTATTCACAACATGTAAGGCAGACCCTGGCTTAAGCTGGGAAATTGCCAAGAAGAAGAAGATAATATTGCATTGAAATAATCATACTGATTGAATTATCCTATTAAATCTTTATAGGTATATAAAAGGAAGTCGTGTTAGTTACACTATTTATAACTCAAGAACGGCTGTAGGGGCTTGGATGAAAATTTGTGGGAAGATAGAACAAGGGAAAGGACAGAGGATACTTTTGAATTTGTTCAATCAAAATATAATTAGCTCATAAAATTAAAAACCTGTTTATTTACTAACTCTAAATCGAAACAGTTATCCTGGTCAGCTATACGTTTCTAATTCAGATACTAACGCAGACAAAGACGCTAGCAAAAGCTAGTATCAGTTAAAAACATCATACAATATATAATAAATCATTAAATAATTTCTCATAAAGAAATAAATTAATATCTGTCATCGGGCATTAATTAAAACAATTCTTTGCCTACTTATTAAAAAAAACATCGACACATCGTAAAACATGTCAACCAACAAGTGTCACTGTCATGAAAAACTTCAAATTAAATACTTCCTGATAGAAATGTATAAAATAATCGCTATTCAATAATAGACATTTAATTATTATGTAATGTGTATTTAGTATCACGCAACATGTTATGTTTTTTGTCCCACTTTACTTTTACCGTTTTAGATAATGACCACAGATGATATAAGATTGTATTGAATCCCACAGATAATTATTGTAAGCACGTTCGTTTATACGGCCTCTTTGCTGTAATTAGGGGTTTTGCTTTCATATTTTAGGTATTCGTGTGTCTTTAACAAAAAAAATTCTTATCAAGTCTTGAAGTAGACACCGGTAGTCGTAAAGTTTTTCAATAATAAATAAGAATCCTTCTCATGTGCTATTATCATTTTATCAATGTATATTTAAGGAAAACTAATAAAAAATCTGTTTAATTTGACAACTTAGAGTAACAGCGACTTATATTTATGTATACACATCTCGTCTTAATAATCATGGTTGCTGTAAAGTAACCGAAACGTCGGGAGTATGTAGTTTTTATCAAAAATAAAGTCACGTAGTATATACGCAAAATAATAGTTTCATATATGTATAAACTCAACATTTATATTGAAATTTATATCAAAAATTTAACTCCAATAAAAATACTATTAAAAGTCTAGTATATATAATATATGTATATAATGGATAAAAAACTTGGCATGAAATATAACTTATAAATAAAATATTAATATCATATAGGTTTAAAATTCATATATTAAAACCTCGTTAATATACCTAACTGGTTTAGAATTCGCACGTTTTTGACAAAATAAAAAGGTGACAAGAAAGTTGATGTCAAATTACTTATAGAATGTATTAAGTGGTTTACTGACAGATCACTTTAGTTATAGATTATAAGGAAATTAAAAGATTTTATTAAAATTTAAGATTAAAAATTTTCCTATTACATTGGTTAAAAACTTTTACATACAAATTAAGACTTATTTATTACCAGGAATTACTTATCTCATTAAAGATAAATTGTTTACAAAAGAAAAAAAGTCTATAACGCGCTTTTTAATTTTTATGTAGTGTTGTCAGTCTTAAAAAACATTTCAAATGTCTGTCATAGTTTGTTTTGTTGAAGATATAAATAGTGCAAAATATTTTTTTTATTATTAATAAATTAAATCAATAATCGTTATTATAATTATAAGATATAACTATATTCTATAATTATATTTACTTAGTTAGTAGTTAGTTTTATTTCCTATAACAGTTATATAAATTTTAACGGCAGTTGAAAGCGAAATCTAATGCTTATTTGTCTCAATGGATAAATAGAAAAATATATTTGGAATAGTTATGGCTTTAAGAGCAATTTTTATTATGAGAGTAAACTTTTTAGATGTTAAAACTTTTGACTGGACTTAAATATTTAATACAATAACATATATGTATATATACATATATACTTCAATCAATTTATGACTAATATACTTTTAAAATAAATTATATTTCGTTTCATCAATATCATAAATTCCAATCAATAAATAATAAATCTCTTTTTAATTAAAGTGCTTTTGACCGTCAGCATATTACATGTAAAATGTAAAATAAAGTTTAAGGAATAATTTTATATAAAAATAAACTCTTACGCGACATGCGACAGGGTTGCGTTAAACGTTTAACGCTCCTGGGGTGAAACGTTTAGCGAAAAAAAAACAAGAGGGAATCAGTTGTGACGTGCAAGTAATGTAATAAAGGAACACAAAAAAATCCTTAAAAAACCAATTTCTATCCCATTTTTCATTCTTACATTACGAATTTTCACTTCTTCCGTGAGGAGGGACTTCACGCAGTATTATTATTTTCAAAAGTTCTCTTTCATTAATTAATACATGCAAAACAAGGAATGCAATACAATTATAGTGAGAATGATGAAGTGACAAATTATTGAAAATGTAATTATGTAAGTCTGAAAGAATTATAACAATAAGTTATAATTCAGTGAAGTATAGAAAATACTATTTTAGTGGAATTAAAACAATAAGACGCCATTTAATGAATTATAGAAAATACTATTCTTGAGACGAGCTCTATAATATTATTAGTAATTAATAATTATGTTCGATTTGTTTTATTTCTAACAAACTTTAGTAGTAACAACAAAGTTTCGTCAAATATTTAGAAACCTACTTTTACAATTTAAATTATTTCATTAGGTACTACAATTTGTTTTTCGTTAACAGAATTCGTAATTATTAAACGTTAATCACAAAATCATAATAGGGTTGAAGAAATCTTATTTCTGTAAAGTGTACTTATTTTTTTAATAACTTACATATAAATAAAAAAAATATATTCTCATTGACATAAATGAAAAATGAGAGTTTAAAATATAATAACGAACCACCCAATTTAAATTATATTCGTATTTAAATGAATTAATAAAAATAATATTAATTTTTATT